AGCTTTTCGGATCCGTGCTGAGATTTCATCGCCAATCAGTCCGTTGGTGCTAATACAACTTCCCAAGTAGGTGAAGTGGTCAACATGTTCTATCACTTCACTCCCTATCACTAAGTTAGGAGTTGACGTGGTCCAGTCCTGTAGCAGCATCTTACATTTTGCAGGGGCGAATCGCATGCCAAACATACGAAGATTGCTGCTCAAGGTGTTCAGAAGACTCTGCATTTTGTCAGCATCCTCCCCTAACAGGACTATGTCATCTGCATATTCTAAGTCCATAAGATTATTCCCTGGTAACAAGTCGATTCCTAAGTCATTACGTTCAGTTAAGGATACTTCCATCAGCATATCTATGATGAAGTTAAACAGAAATGGGGAAAGTGGACATCCCTGTCGGACACCACTGGTTGTTACCAATTCAGATGACAATTCCCCATAAGCCCTTACACGACTACGTGAGTTTGAATAGAGTGCCTTGATTAGTGCAATGTACTTTCTTGGCACTCCCTTCACAGTCAGACATTGCCATAGTACCTTTCGATCCACGGAGTCGAAGGCCGCCTTCAAGTCAAGAAATATGACAATTGTTGGACGCCGAAAAGTGTGTCTATGTTCTAGAATCTGTCGAAGAGTGAAGATATGATCATATGACAACCCATCACCTATGTTACTACACTAATTTCATTGAAACACCTAATTTTATTGACTGATTTTGTATTACGTAACTCCAATTACCAATATTCTTCACCTGTTTAGTCAAAATAACCATAACCAATTGTCCTTTTATGTTTGACAAAGTTAATGTACACACATACATACAAAATAACACATATACATATATTTGCGATTGTACAGCTAAGAAAATGAATTCATCAGCGAAAAGAGACTCTTCGTGGAACTACGTGTTTTCTGTTTTCATTAATCCAAATTTTTAATCCTGCATCATTCATTGTGTCATATATTTAAAACATTTTTACACAAACTCTTTCTCAAACTTGAGAATACTGTCATTACTTCTACTACAAGTATTACTTCTAATGAAAGTTCATTAATATCAACAACAAAATACCAAAAAAAGAAACGAAAACTCATAATAATAATAATAACAATAATAATTAAAAATATATTAAAGTACACAATCCTTCAACTCTCTACATCTCTCTCTTTCATTCACTAATCAATTTCAAGCATTTAGTCACATGATAACTGATGTACAGCAGTAGTGAAATATTAAAATTTTTACACATAATATATATTGGAACTATTGATCAAAATATACATTTTAAACAAATACATATAAATATATACTGTAGGCCTCATAAAGCTTTCATTACCATGGCGATTTGTAAACTTTACTCGGATCAACGTACACCTATATACATATACATATTTCAAATGTTTAGCGTTACGTGTTTAAATGAACAAATGAGAAGATAACTTGTATGCGTATCCTGGATACAGGTGTGTGTGTGCTCACGCGCGTTTACATGTCAATGTTCAATTTTCCTGACAATTTAAACAATGACTCCAGTGTTTTCTATGAAATTATTAGTTCTTTGTATTCCTTCACGTTTCAAGTAGATGATAGGGCTTCAAGTTACAAGCTTGAAGTTTCCGTAGAAGTAGTATTTATTTTTTTCACGGGATGGGATTCCTAGTCTCATGCTCAACCTTCCCACCCTCCTTATAACTGGCTTAGCGGGGTAAATGAGTGCGTCGGCCGGGGATCTTTCCTGAACCTGTGGTGACAGCAGCCTGCTAGCCAATTGGTTGACATTAATCTACGTCAATGTCTAGGTCACTAATATGGGCCGTGAGTTAATATGAACAAGGCTGTTTCAACAACCAATCACAGGAAACTTAAACGTGGGCAAATATGATTCGCAGATAGATGGCTCCACTTTCCGAGGAACTCGAAAACAACCAATCAGAAGACTGAGTTTGTCTACTTGACTAGGCTATAATAATGTATGTGAAATTTATATAAATACGTGTTGATTTCCGTAATAAGACGATCTGTTGCCTGGCCCTTGTCTTCTAGTGTTACAAACCTAACCCTAACGTGAAAAAGTCTCTAAACTAACAGTAATCCAACTCGAACCAAACCCAAAGTCGCCTTTATTAGGTTAATCTAACCCTAACTTGTCCTTGGCTTAAACTGTAACTTAATCTTTTTCCAAACCTAAGCTGAAACTTGCCAGATATCCCACCTAATAACATAACACTACGATGAGCACATTTTATTGATGACGACAACATTATTTACCAGGATTCACAGAGACATTCGCAGAGTAATATTCGTGTAGTACTTAGGCACTGTATTACTGGGCATGTTATTCCATAATAATTTGTTTATACTAGCCGACCATTATTGTTCAATAACCTGAAGGACAAGATTCCACTGTTGACCAACTCTATGTGCGTTTGTCAATTCACCTGCTCGTTTGGAGCTAGGTATATTGGTTGTTCGACTCGTGTTTTGTCCAAGAGGGTGCAAGAACACTATCCTCCTGCACGGTTACGAAGAGGTGGAAGTGGAGCAATAAGAAGCGCGATCATTGAACATCTGGTAGATAATGATCACCCCATCTCTATAGCCTCCGCCTTTAAAGTCATCTACAAGACAAAGAGTAATTTACCCAAATCCCTACGTACCCGACGCATCTGTATTGCTGAAGCCGTCTTTGGCTATCGAAATAGAAAAGCCAGATCTCTGTGTACAGAAAAAGTTCGTTCAACCCTCCAACTTTCATGGTCTGAATCCCTCTATGCTAAAATACGGTAATCTCTAATCATATTTTAGCTCTACTAATTTTTCATTTTGTCTATTCAATTTGTATAATCTTCTTTATTACGCCAATTGTTACTACCATTACTATTTTCATTTTGAACTGTCCCCGGTATTATTTCACTTGTTCCACTTATCATTCTAAATCAATTCTTTTTTACAACGATAAATTCTATGCTATTATATTTCATACAATATTACGTAACGTTTTTGTTTTATTCGATTTGTCTACTAATCCTATCATTGCACACCCTTTTTCAAGTTCTATCCATCCTATGAATTATTCTATATATGACATAAATTTGCTTTGCCACTTGACATTTAACTACGATTATAATCACAAACATTTTAGTTTTAATTGAACTTCATATGATTATTATTATTTTATGCATTCACACCTATGATTCAATTCCCTCACCAGATATAACTTCTTAAAAACCATATATATATGACTGTACAGCTTGATGATAAATTCGTTGAAAAGAGTCTCTTCGCTGAATCACTTGTTTTGATTTTCTATTAGATATATCAGAGACAGTGTGAGACAGTATTATTATTTACTGGGTGACACAGTTTCCAACACAATTTATTATTGTTCATAATCATATCATCAATTATAGCCGCACAACTTTGAAACTTCAGTTTTATAGATTTCTTTGTTCCTTCCGATTCACCATAAGAGTAGTAGAATTTCCCAGATATCTGGGACAGATGTTGAATCATTCCTATTACACGTGTTCCTCCTCAGTTGATTCAATAAAAATAAGCTCCTGTTATCAGTATCCCCCCTGTTACATTAGATTTCAAACCTGTCATCTTATACCATCATCCTATTGTAGGGTTGTGTATAATTGAATGCAGTGAGTGCTACAGCTGAGTTATTCTTCAGATTTCTTATCTTATTTGGGTCAACTAATCTAGATTTTACTAAGTTTCGATGCTCCACTAGTCTGACTGACTGCTCCTGTTCTACTACTTTGACCTATGTACTTGACCTGACAATCATTGCAGCCAGGGTATTAGATAAACTAAATTGTTTTGTTTTAAAGGCTCCGCTGGTGGGATCCTTTAACCGACAAAGTTTATTTCTGATTGAATTTCTGGGTGATTTGAATATCATTCACTTTTATTCCTGCCTACCTTGTTAAGAGTTCTGAGTAGGGTTTTCGAGGTTCCCTCCTTGTATGGAAGTACTACTGGTGATTGAGATTCCTTATTGTTGGTGTTGTCATTGCCTTGGGCATGTTTGACATGCATGTCCTCATCAATATTATTATTGTTATCATCACTATCACTACTATCATTATTTATCTTATTTTTACATTTGCCTACATACTTCCTGATTAATTTACCAGGGTAATCATTAATTAAGTTTCAAAGCTTCTCGTATATGCCTCACTTCGTAGCTTAAATGTTTCTTGATACTATTTAGTTTTAATGCCCTATTATTCAAAGATTTAATGAGTTCAATTTTAACTGACTTAGGGTGGGATGAACCGAAATCCAAAATATCGATCAGAATGCGTGGATTTTCCGTAAATACGTCGTTGCAACTCCCATAGGGTTACCAAAATCACCGATAGTTGTGAATACATTTATAGATGGGCAAGAAAACGTAGCAAACTAAGCGTGAACCGCACCTCAAAAGTATGGTGAGGGTATGTGTAGTTATAACTGATGATATGATTATAAACAATGCTCAATCGTGCTTGAAACATCGTCATCCAGTAAAGAATAACAATGCTGCATTGTGTATGATATGTCAGTTAGGCAAATTAGTATGGAACTACTTCCCATTTAATATTATTTTATTCCTTTACGTTTCAAGGGGAACATAGGGCTTCAGGGTGGGGCTTCGAAGTCTTGGTTGCCGGGGTTTTATTTTTACAGGGTGGATTCACTACCCTCACTCCCAACCTTGCCTCTCTACCGAACTTTCCACCGGATTAGCGACGTTAGGGATTGCTTTGGCCAAAGACCAACTTCCAGACGATGTGCATGGTTAGAGAGCGTCCTACAGCTGAACAACCGACACACTATGGAATTAAATTTGCGAATTGTACATTCAGTGGGCAATCAGCAGTATTATCTTTCTCAGTACCGTCGAACCCATACCCTTCATAACTCGCATAAATGTTAATCTGACAAATTTCAACATTAAATTATTGACAACAATAAGATTAAGCAAGTAGAAAAGAGTATAAGTGCCTACCTGATGGAGTCCTTGGACTGAGTCTTCCTATATTCTGTTGATTCACATACAGTCTTTCTTCATTATAAACAAATTGTGCATCTTTTTCACATCTTTCAGTTACTGGATCAGAAAATCCAGATCCTGGTGAAGTTGGATCAAAATGATTGAACAACAGATTCTCTTTATTTGCTCTATGATAAGCTGATGACATTCTCTCTGGTAAAGATTGTTGTTTTTGTGGTTGCTGTTGTGGCAGTTCGTACGATTGATCACTCGGTGTTCTTCGATGTTCTGAAGGCGGAGTCCGACTTTTCGCTATCGAATCATTTGATTTTCTATTGTCCACAGTCGGAAGGATAGATGTAATCACAGTGCCACGATGTCCTTCAGTATAAGTTTGTGAAGGAGTTGTCGGTGCATCTTTATATTGATTATCCATACGTTCTTGCATTTTAGCAATTCGATTATTCCATTGACGTTTAAGTTCTTCAAAATTCTCCTTCGACTTTGGACTACTAATAATCGCCTTAGTTTTTCCTGGCGGTTCTGCTCGTCCAATGATAGGGGCTTGATCTTTCGACTGATTGGTTATTTTACTAGGGATTTTTTGAGGTTTAGGTGAAGGAGGTTCACCTGGTTGAATGGATGCTCTTGGGGATGTGGATTTTGGTGATTTAGGTGTTTGAGGTCGTGATGAAGAAGGCGGTGTTGATGGCATTTTCTGGGGGGTGAATTCATCCTCTTCCTTGTCTTTTATCTTCTCAAAAACTCTAATAGTTTCTGGTAAAATATTGACACCTGAAAAGTGTTCACCAGTGGGTTTATTATGTGGTTCAAATTCTTCTTGAACAAGTACAATTTCTCGTTTCCGTCGACGACTTTCAGATCGTTCAAAGTTAAAACGATTTGGTCTTCTACAAGTGTATTCAGGTCCCATATAACCAAGGAGTTCAGCATCATGTGATTCTGTGGAAGCCAGTAGAATGGAAGCCCAATAATCAGAATCAAGGTAGTCGCATATTCTCTCACTGTTTCCAACTCTTAAATTCTCCGGATTATTTCCGACGCAAAGACTCAGTGTAACCTCAGCCAGTCCTTCTTCAGTCATAAACGCTTCTTGACGTACAACACCTATTGTTTGTCTATCAGGCAGTACAAATGCTGACTGGTATTCACGTTTAATCTTTTTACCAATAAATGCAATCGATGAAGATGAGTCAGTTTGTAAAGAAGAGAAATTTGGTTCTTTAAATGGAATATTTCCATCATCCCCACGAGCACCAGCACCACCGACACGATCACCAACTGATGAACTTGCACGTAAATTATCCTCTGAAGATATTCTTGATGATTGATTTGAGAAGATCAATACTGATGGAGATTTTTCTTCATCTAAGACAACTGACATTAATGAGCCAAGACTACGTGATAGACTGTTATAACGGCTATCTTGCCGACGTAGGCTTGTAGCCGTCCAAACTGCGGTCATTCTTTAGCCTAGTCTTCAATGATCTATAACAGACTAAGTGTTCAACAGTTCAGGACTTCGATTTCCCATTTGGTTAGATGAACACTACAATAGATGAGATAAAAATAAATAATTGTGACAAATATTTGAAAAATATTGATGAGCATAGTTTTAAAATGAACTACTCTAAGTGTCAGACTGTTTATTTTGAGTTTCAGGTGTGAACAAGACTTGTGCTGAGAGCTGCCTGCTAACCAAAATTGTAAACAACAATTTATGTCAATCTCCACGTCCCAAATCGGGTTCATGAGGAAATGACAATAACAAAGCTTAATCTTCAGGAACTTAACGACCGATCACAGAGGACTTAACTTCTGCAAATACGATTCGCAGATATATGGCTTAACTTTCTGAGAAACGGTCACAAGCGGTAAAGAATAACATTCATCAAGAAAACTATCGATCTTTTGATTTTTTGATTTTTGATTTACAGCTTGATTCCGCACTGTATTTTCGGTACAAGTATGGAATTTTCAGCATGGATATCGGTAGCCCAAATTTTGCAAGCCGACCATAGATATCAGGTGTGCGTCGGTGCGGGCTCGAACTCCGGACCATGTGCATGGTTGGCGAGAGTCCTAACCACTGTGCCACCGACGCACACAATCGGAAGACGTTGCTTCGCTGACAATAATGTACATAAAAATTTATAAATATCTGTTGATTTTCTCAACAAACGGTGTGTTCACTGGCTTTTGTCTTCTGTCGTTACAGACTTACATCGACTGGTTCACTGCCATGTTCCTTTTAATATCGATGGTACTTTGATACGGAGTAAATAGAATATCTCCTAGCTCAGCGCCAGTTTCTCTTCTGATCCTCATTGGTTGTTTTCATATCTTGTTGAATTCTATTTATTTATTTATTAATTCATGTATTCTACCCATTCTTCTTTAGTGTTAGCCAACAGCAAAGAACAGTCACCAAATGACCTTGAATCAGAGCAAGAACTAAAGTTTTAACAGGGCAGAATAAAGTGGTACCGTCTTTTATTTCGTTGCCTTCTCGTCAGCTGCTTACAGGCCAAAGATATTAATAAATATATCCACAAAAACAATTTTAACACACTTGCACAGCGAGTTCATTTTAAACAAAAATCAATCGATCAATACATGCATACACTAATAATATATATATATGTATATATATATATATATATATATATGCAATATTAAATACTATTCGGAACAATAATAATCATACACAATGGAAACTTTTAGCACTTCGCATTCAGATGAAAGAGAGATGAAAATATCCAGTTACCAGGGCAAAGAAGGACTGATAACCGCTTCTTTCTAGATGCATAAATCAGTCATAGTCTATCCTGAAGCTAAGCTCCTTTCCGTCTATCGAACAACTTGCTCTCATTTAGTGCAATCAAAAGTCGACAGACATCCTTCTCATGTCAACTCCAACTGTATGTACAAATTTACATGTATCTGTGGTAGCGATTACATTGGGAGAACAGAAAGAAGAAGGGCATATCTACGATTTTCTGAACATGTACCAAAATGCTTACGTCTAAAGGGAACAAATGCTTTAAACAGTGCCATCACCAGGCATCTCCTCGACACGGGTCATGAGGTGGACGTCGAAAAGTAGTTCAAAATTATCAATAGGCAAAAGAGCTAAATTCTGCTCAAGTTTGCTGAAGTCATTTCCATCAAGAGCCTGAAACCTGATTCATGCGTCTAGAAAGAAGCGGTTATCAGTCCTTCTTTGCCCTGGTAACTGGATATTTTCATCTCTCTTTCATCTGAATGCGAAGTGCTAAAAGTTTCCACTGTGTATGATTATTATTGTTCGGAATAGTATTTAATATTGCATATATATATATATATATATATATATATATATTATTAGTGTATGCATGTACTGATCGATTGATTTTTGTTCAAAAATGAACTTGCTGTGCAAGTATGTTAAAATTGTTGTTGTAGATATATATTTAATAATATCTTTGGCCTGTAAGCAGCTGACGAGAAGGCAACGAAATAAAAGATGGTACCACTTTATTCTGTTAAAACTGTAGTTCTTACTTTGTTCGAATTCACTAAGGGGAATAAATGTATGAGACCTTGAATCAGCCAAACAGATACTTCTGGGTTAAAGGTGATATTTATTGTATAAAAACGTCCACTAAAATTCAATTATGCAGGGTAAATATCTCTAATATGTCGCGAAAAATAGGTCCCAGTTTCTAATAGGAGTGTCTATAGACGTGTCAAAACAATGTCGATATGAAAATTCATCTAAGTGGCCGTATATCAAATCATTTGAGGAGCCATTTATCATTCTAACACGTATTTTTATATGGGCCTAGAATCCTTTAATGGAGTTTTTATGAGTGACATTAAAAGTATCCACTAATTCAGAAGAATTATTGACTTTATGATGAGTATAGCCTAATGATGATAGTTGCAAACGAACTCTGAACACGTCTGTGTGAATGGTACTACCTTGGAAGCACTAATCGTTGTATTATTGGTATTAAAACATTGACACTTCTGTTTAGGATACGTTCTATTAACTAACAACACTTTCTGAAGATTTGTATCATACATTCCCAGCACCCAAAGGTGGTTTACTCTTCTCCTACCGCAATTCAATATGACCGACGGCACCAATTCCTCCAAGTAAAGAAGTAATTCCATTGATCTTTTGTGAAGCAATGTCGCAACAGTGCTAATACCACTGCACTTGATGGCATTTTAGTATTTTCTGTTTTCCGCCGTTGTGGCAGATACTTGTCGTCTCAGTAGCCACTTGTGACATATACACAATATTTTACTTGGACAGAATTTCCATTTCACTAGAATGCACATTTTACCAACTGTTAGAGTACTTCTGCTATGACAGTAATTGCATCTGAATGCATAACCATCAATAGCCTGGCAGTATTTCTGAAGAATCATTGTCCCACCACACATAGAACATGCTTTAGTCCTCCCTATCAACCCATTTTCCACCACATAAAAGTCAAAAACCAAATCTGGGTGAAACTTGCAACGAAGATTATGTGAACAGCATCGATTTTTATAATGTTGGGCAGCGATTTGATTGGTTGGTTCAAGGTTGTTCGACTCTAGTGTCTATTCTCTACCCTTTGTATTTCCTATTGGCTGATTAGATGGGACCGGTCTCTATCGACATGCCGGCTCGTAATGAACAATACCCTTTGTACAAGAGGTAGCTCTTATCACACAAGTAACCTAGTGCGTAAGACATTGGTGTTTGAGTCGATGGGTGCTGAGTTCGGGTCTAACTGAGAACACTATCAACCGCTCATTAAACATTGTAGGTACATTTGAATGACGAGTCCCAAACTGGGACGAAATACACACCTTAGACTCCACTGCTAGTCACCACCAAATCAACAGAAATTACTACACACATTCTGTTCAATTAGCCTGTTATCACTTTTTTTTAAAAGTCCTCATAAGTAGTAAAATGAAAAATGGTATCAGTTTTCACATATCTAGTTTATGTTTGTTTTTTAAAATAAATTTATGCCGCCCTGTTTCTCAGGTGACCTTAGTAATAAGCAAAATAATAATAATTTAAAATTCCCAATCAAATTTTAAACAAGTACAGTAATCTACATTGTATAAGTTCAAGTGTTCAATAGCAACAGAGAATTAAAACAAACAAAATTTTAATAATATTAAATTGTACATTGAAGTACTTGGAATATTTTATCATCATTATTATTAGTATTCTCTGGAAAAATAAGGAGAAAGTAAAATGTGCATCTCTGTGTGTGTGTGCTTGTGGGAAATAATAGTTTTTATTAGAAAAACCCTTGAAATTATATTTAATATTCACAAAAGGGTAAAGTAGTTTGAAGGTTTTGGTAAGTAGGAATTACTATTTAAACTATTACTGTTAATACAGGAAAAAATTAGAAAGTTCTAATCACTCCCAGATTTTCCAACCAAAGATTGATATCAGAATTTTCAGGTTGTTTAATTGACCTAATGAGGGTGGGTGGATTTCGTGGATGATCTATGTTTGATATTACAAGCGAAAACCGATAAACTGGTCAAAGAAGCAACCCACAAAGACAGGATTTCAGGTGAACATAGACAAGACGAAGGTCATGAAAATAACCAGCCAACAACAACAACAACAACAGAAACATCCAGCGCCAATCACCATCAACGGGAGGGAGGGATTTGGAAGAGGTTACTTCATTCACTCATTTATCTAGGGAGCATTGTATCAACTACAGGAACTCGCAACGGACGAGGATGTCAAATCGAGCGAGAATCGGGAAGGCGAGCGAGAAACACATTCAACAATCTGAAACCAATCTGGAAATCTTCGTCACTCAGCCAGCATCAACAACAAAATTCAGTCGGATTTTCAATACGTCAAAAACGTCAAGTCAGTTCTACTACACGGATCTAAAGATTGGCAGGTAGGTCACAAAGAATATTTCCAACAGCCTGTTGCAGACCTTTATCAACCAACAACTGTCTTCGCTGGCTCTATACTGAAGATCAGATGGCCGGCCGGGCCGGAAAGAATCACCAACTATCGGAAACTATGGGAACAAACAAACAAAACAAGAACCAATCGCCAACCAACCAACAAATATGTAGGTGAAAGTGAATTGAGATGGATTGGACACTCGCTGAGTGAGGAGGCCGCTGGGTGACATCACGCGGTTGTCAGGCCATTGGTCGAGTGTAACCAGGTCGAAAGGGAAGCAGCGAGTGGGTCGTCATTGCAAGGGTTATATGGAGGAGATTGTGCGAAGAGGAGTTGAAACAGTGTGGACTAACATGGATGCGGGTGAAAAGTACAGCAAAAAGAAAGACAGAAGTGGTAAGTGGAGACGTGGAGTTGAAGCCCTATGTTCCACTAGGAACCCAAGGGAACAATAATAATAATAATAATGAGGGTGGGGTGGGGCGAGGGGTATGGTATCTCATTCAATGATTACGACACTAGATACTGATGTCCGATGTAAGGTGGATACTCCTTGATGGCGATGATATATCCTGAGTTAGCAAAGGTTAGAATTCAGAGATAATTGAAAT